TCGGTGCCTATAGTGGTCCTTTAAGGATCTTGTTGAAAACCATGTATAATACACTGAACAAAATTGTAAACACAACACTTTTGTTTTTGCCCACATTTTTCATGAGCTGAACTCAAAGATCTAAGACTTTTTCTATGTACACAAAAGGCATATTTCTCTCAAATATTGTCCACAAATCTGTCTAAATCTGTGTTAGTGAGCACTTCTCCTTTGCCAAGATAATCCATCCACCTCACAGGTGTGGCATATCAAGATGCTGATTAGACAGCATGATTATTGCACAGGAGAACCTTAGGCTGGCCGCAATAAAAGGCCACTCTAAAATGTGCAGTTTTATCACACAGCACAATGCCACAGATATTGCAAGTTTTGAGGGACCATGTAATTGGCATGCTGACTGCAGGAATGTCCACCAGAGCTGTTGCCCGTGAATTGAAAGTTCATTTCTCTACCATAAGCTGTCTCCAAAGACCTTTCAGAGAATTTGGCAGTACATCCAACCGGCCTCACAACAGGCAGACCACGTGTAACCACACCAGCCCAGGACCTCCACATCCAGCATCTTCACCTCCAAGATCGAGACCAGCCACCCGAACAGCTGCTGCAACAATCGGTTTGCATAACCAAAGAATTTCTCCACAAACTGTCAGAAACCGTCTCAGGGAAGCTTATCTGTACGCTCGTCGTCCTCATCGGGGTCTCAACTTGACTGCAGTTCGTCGTTGTAACTGACTTTGAGTGAGAAAATGCTCACATTCGATGGCGTCTGGTACTTTTGAGAGGTGTTCTCTTCGTAGTTCAATCCCAGTTTTCACTGTAATGGGCAGATGGGAGACAGCGTGTATGGCGTCATGTGGGTGAGCAGTTTGCTGATATCAACGTTGTGGATCGAATGGCCCATGGTGGCAATGGGGTTATGGTATGGGCAGGCGTATTTTATAGACAATGAACACATGTGCATTTTATTGATGGCATTTTAAATGCACAGAGATACCGTGACGAGATCCTGAGGCTTATTGTTGTGCTATTCATCCACGGCCATCATCTCATATTGCAGCATGATAATGCAGGGACCTATGTTGCCAGGATCTGTACACAATTCCTGAAAGCTGAAAACATCCCAGTTCTTGCATGGCCAGCATACTCACCGGACATGTCACCCATTGAGCATGTTTGGGATGCTCTGGATCAGTGTTTACAATAGCGTGTTCCAGGTCCTGCCAATATCCAGCAACATCTCACAGCCATTGAAGAGGAGTGGACCAACATTCCACAGGCCACAATCAACGACCTGATTAGCTCTATGCGAAGGAGATGTGTCGCACTGCTTGAGGCAAACGGTTGTCACACCAGATACTGACTGGTTTTCGGACCCCCCAACCCGATCCCTCCAATGCAGTAAAACTGCACATTTTTGAGCGGCCTTTTATTGCGGCCAGCCTAAGGCACACCTGTGCAATAAGCATGCTGTCTAATCAGCATCTTGATATGCCACACCTGTGAGGTGGATAGATTATCTCGGCAAAGGAGAAGTGCTCACTAACACAGATTTAGACAGATTTGTGGACAATATTTGAGAGAAATAGGCCTTTTTAGTACATAGAAAAAGTCTTAGATCTTTGAGTTCAGCTCATGAAAAATGGGGGCAAAACAAGTGTTGGGTTTATAATGTTGTTCATTGTATATAATGCACAGTGTATGTTATCAGTTTTTCATTACATACATATAAGTCCTATTATAAAGTACTATTCCAAGATACAGGGACTCGGAGGTTGGAATAGAGAATTGTCCAGCAAACAGGGTCCTCAGTCGCTCTCACCAGTATGAGGTACAGCTATAGATTAGTCTGTTCATAAGTAAATAAGGGGCTGATGGAGGATGAATTAATAAAAGGCTAAACAATACCAGATCATTTGAATTCTACAGCGCCCTTTTTCACAGAGCCCTCTTAAACTACTCTTCCTGTATGTCAAATGTATTTTGTTAGACTTGTTCAGCGCCGTGTAATATGTTGGAGCTATATATAAACATTTTTATTGTTATTGTTCTATGAAAAAAGTTTCTGCACAGCATTTCTGAAATCATAAATAACCGTTTGTTTTGGAAATAGTAAAGTGTTAAATGTACACACACGTATCACCCTGGGGACGTGTGATAGATGGAGGAGAAGGTTAAATCCAGGTTTTAAAATCATTTTTTAAGTTTAGGAACACAGAGGTGCTAGCATTTCCTCATCTTTCCGTGGCACACGGCAGTCTCTGCAGCACGCAGCATTAAGTGGAGATTTCTCACTGTTAATGGCCTTTTCACGGCATATTAAATCGCTTCCAGTACTCAGGTGATTTTAGCTGTGTGATTACACCTACATAGAGCCTGCGTTGGAATAATTCGTAACTCTAACTGCTACCAATATGGATACAAATTCAGAAAGAAAATGGTACTTAAGTTGACTTTAGTTTCTTGTAACATCTGTGACTGAGAACAGAAAGAGCAGCAATCTTTTCCGAAACGGTCACGCGCTGCTCTCTATCATAGGGCGCAACACACCCAAGACAGACGCTGAATTTGAGTGACATTTTATCTCCTGGCATGGGACGGTAACTGAGAAAGCTGCCATAAAATGTCCCAATTCCTTCACAGCTAGAACTGGGACTTGGTGGACATCGAGCAAAGGTGGCCATTATCAGCCTCATAATTTATATATGATATGAGTGAAGTTAATAAAAATGTTTACATATAATTATATAAGCTTTTATTACATAACTTATATGTCTATGTAAACACACACACAGCTTTTGCTAATGTACACATTCTCTTTCAAAACACACACTCACACAATCGCGGAGACGAGTACAAATGCATGCTGGGAGATGTAATATTGAGCCAGTCTTCAAGGGCAGCCATGTCAATACTATTTTACTGTTGCATAAAATACAGACAGCGAGCATGTAAAATATTCTATTAAATACCCCAAAACGCAGCAGAGAATATTAAAATACATTTTAAAAACAAATTTTTGGAGAAATAAGCTAATAAGACATGATTTCCCAATTCTTGGGAATGATGTTACCGCCATGCATTGTTGGCGGTAGTGGGCACAGAGAAATGTATGTAATATTGCCCCTGTGCAAACATCCACGCGGCAGAATCCTTGGAGTCTGGGAAACTAAGTGACCATTTTGATTATGAAGGCAAGAACCAGCGGTGACCAATAGATACTCTCATTCCTGTTTCTGCTGCCAATTAAGGGCGTGCAGAATATTGAAGCATTTCAGTTACTAAATGGATATGATATTGGACGAAGTGCTGAGGCACTATGCGCTCGTTATTCAATAGCTACTGAAACAGTCAAGTCGATACAAAATAAGGTATTGATCGTCATTCTCAAGACAATAAGCGATGGGGCCCGAGGAATAAGGGAGAGCGCAGTGTGTGAGTTACACAGGACGCTGCTAATCAATACTGACACTGCAAAGCCGAACATTTAACAATCTTATTTCTAAAAGGCCTAAAATGTGTGATTGCGCTACAGCGAAAACAAGGACAATGCTCTCTGTAATGAGCGATTTGGATAGCTTGTCAAGATGCCTATTAAGGTCCATCTAGGGATTACGTTACGCAGTGCATGTGGGTCACGGGAAATCCGGTTTCATAGCAGACTCAAGGGTAGACAGAAAGAACAGCTACTCTGTGTGAGAGTGACAGCATAGCAAGGGTTATTTTCCCAGAATCCCACTGGGCTGCTCCACATTGGCTAACTTAGAGCCTTAATTTAAACACGTGTGGGTTGTAACTTTATATTTATATTAGTTCTATTGTTTCTATATTTTATTTCTTGTCACGGCAGCTAAAAATAGAATATGTTCATGCAGAAGTATTTTTTTTTTTAATATTCACGCATTAGATGCTAGCTAGAAAATGTAGAAACTCCTCCAGTCCACCGACATGGCACTTTGCCAACTTAGGTCCTGTTTTTTAAAAAACAGTTGGATAATTTGCTGCTATTTGTACATGGAAACAGTAATATTAAAAGAGCAATAACAGGGAACACAAAAATGAATCCACACACTTGGAGAATTCAAAATATGTTATTGTTATTAATTATTCTTTCATTATAAGGGCTGGATCATATTCGCCCCCAGTATTTCTGTCATGCAGTTTTCTGTACCCCCCCAGCTATCAGTGTCCCCCCAGTTTTCAGAATCCCCCAGAGCTGTAAGTGTCTCCAAGCTTTCTATGCCCCCCCCCCAGTTTTCAGTGTCCCCAAGCATTCTGTGTCATGCACTTTTCAGTGTGTTCCCCAGCTTTCTGTTCTGCAGTTTTCCTTGTCCCCCACCCCAGTTTTCAGTGTCCCCAAGCTTTCTTCCCCCCACCCCCACAGCTTTCTGCCCCTCCCAGGATTTCAGTGTCCCCAATCCCCCACCTCCACAGCTTTCTGGCCCTCCCAGGATTTCAGTGTCCCCAAGCGCTCTGCCCCCATGATTTCAGTGTCCCCAAGCTTTCTGCCCCCCAGGTTTCAGTGTCCCAGCTTTCTGCCCCAGGATTTCAGTGTCCCAAGCTTTCTGCCCCCAGGTTTCAGTGTCCCAAGCTTTCTCTCAGGATTTCAGTGCCCCTCTTTCTTCCCAGGTTTGGTGTCCCAAGCTTCTGGGTTTCAGTGTCCCCAAGCTTTCTGCCCCCCCAGGTTTCAGTGTCCCCAAGCTTTCTTCCCAGGTTCCCCCCAGCTTTCCCCCAGGTTTCAGTGTCCCCAAGCTTTCTCCCCCAGGATTTCAGTGCCCCCAAGCTTTCTGCCCCTCCCCAGGATTTCAGTGTCCCCCAGCTTTCTGCCCAGTTTACTGTGTACTCCAGATTTGTGTGCTGTGGTTATCCAATACCACCAAGCCTTGCAACTAATCCCTCCCCATCCCCATCCGTTACCTGTGAGAAGCTCTCTCTGCCCTGCCGCTAGTCTCATCTAGCCCCGCACCCAGCATAGTCACATGGTATCAGTGCAGCAGTAATGTATGGTAGAGAAAGAGCGGGAAGAGGCATCCATTGCCCCGCCCATAGGCTCATCCACATCCACCCACAGCCTCTTGACATGGTATCAGTGCCACAGCAATGTGTGGGAGAAAAAGAGTGAGAAAAAGCCTTCATGGCCCCGCTCCTTGGCCCATCTAGCCCAAGTGTTCTGTTATAAAATCTGTTTGGTTTCTGATCAGAATGTGTTTCCCCTCACAAGGCAATCATCAGAACTTCTAAATCGGCAGTCATCGAAACTCCTCCTAATTCGGCAATCATCGGAACTCCTCCTAAATCAGCAATCATCGGAACTCCTTCTAAATCGGCAGTCATCGAAACTCCCAATTTTGCGGCAATCATTGGAACTCCTCCTAAATTGGTAATCGGCGGAACTCCTCCTAAATCGTCAGTCATCTAAACTCCATCTAAATCGGCAGTCATCAAAACTCAATCTAAATTGGCAGTCATCGAAACTCCAATTCATCGGCAATCGTCAGAACTCCTCCTAAATCGGCAATCATCGGAACTCCTCCTAAATCGGCAGTCATCAAAACTCCAATTTATCGCCAATCATCGGAACTCCTCCTACATTGGCAATCATCGGAACTCCTTCTATCTCGGCAATCATCGAAACTCCAATTCATCGTCAATCATCTGATCTTTTCCTACATTGGCGATCCTCGTAACTCCTCCTACATTGGCAATCATTGGAACTCCTCCTATCTCAGCAATCATCGGAACTCCTCCTAAATCGTAATCATCGAAACTCCAATTCATCAGCAATCATCAGACCTCCTTTTACATCGGCAGTCGTCGAAACTCCAATTCATCAGCAATCATCAGACCTCCTCCTACTTTGGCAATCATCGAATTTCCTCCTACATCAGCAATCATCGGAACTCCTCCTACATCGGCAGTCATTAAAACTCCTCCTACATTGGCAGTCATCGGAACTCCTATTACGTCGGCAATCATCGGAACTCCACCTACATCGCCCGTCATCAGAACTTCACCTACATCGGCATTGAGTGAGGTAATTTATTCTCTAACCCTGATTGTGGCCCTGGTAAGCAGGGGTTCACCTCATCTATAGTGGGAGAAAAAGAGCAGGAAAAGGCCTTCATTGCCCCGCCTATACTCTCCACTAGCCCCGCCCCTAGCATCGTCACACGGTTTCAGTGCAGCAGCAATGTGTGGGAGAAAAAGAGCGGGAAAAGGTCTTAATGGTCCCGCCCCTAGTCTCATCTAGCCCCGCCCCTAGCATCGTCTCACTGTTTCAGTGCAGCAGCAATGTGTGGGAGAAAAAGAGCGGGGAAAGGCCTTCATTGCCCCGCCCATACTCTCCACTAGCCCCGTCCTTAGCAGCCTCACATGGTTTCAGTGCAGCAGCAATGTGTGGGAGAAAAAGAGCGGGGAAAGGCCTTCATTGCCCCGCCCATACTCTCCACTAGCCCCGCCCCTAGCAGCGTCACATGGTTTCAGTGCAGCAGCAATGTGTGGGAGAAAATTATTACCATAGAATTGACGGCCAGTCAAGCAGTCCAGACTGTGCCAGTGCTCTCTGCAGGGCCCTAATGCCTGAATGGAGGGTGCATGAGACTAACTCTCACGCTGTGCTTGTAAGGGACATGACCCACAAATCAGGCTTGTCCGACAAAATCAGAAGGGATGGGAGACCTTCACTGCGGCAGCAGAGTGTGGGAGGAAGAGAGAGGGAAATGGCCTCCTTCTCTTACACACTCATGGGGCGGGGCTTGGCGTTCACGAGATTTGTCGTTTTATGTACATTGTGAAATATGGCCAGTATAGGGTCCAAAAGGTAACTTATTGACCCGGTTAAATTAAAGTAGGAAAATAAATGGTGTATTTTGAGGCACTGTTGAACACTTTTTAGGATTTCTAACTCAGGTCTAACAGAACCATTAAAATGCTTAATCCAAGGTCCGATGGATCAGATTAGACACAAATTAAAATGATAATTTGGCCAGAATTTAGCAATTTTTAATTATACATCACTAAAATGGGGTGTTTAGTAAATATATCCCAAATAAAAATATAAACTGCTGCAGAATATGTTTGTGATATATAAATACCTATAATAATACAGGCATTCAAATGGTCCGACGCTAGCTAGTCTATTCACTAACGTGGTAGCTAATGGGTAACGAGATTTGTTACTATGTCTTACACAACTTCAAAAAATGGGAAATAATAGTGGGGTCAACCCCACCCCCAGCTAAAATGTGCGCAATGATTTCGGATTCCTTTTTTAATTATTGATTTATTCTGTTTTAACCCTATGCCCGCCAACAGGCCAATTTATTTTATTTCTTCAATGCAGGTATACTGTTAAAACTGCTTTTCTCTGAAAAGGCAATGTTTACATAAAAAAGCCCTTAGGGACATGCTATAAACTTTAGAACAGCTACATTAAGCTGTAGTTGTCCGGGTGACTATAGTGTCCCTTTAATTCAGACAGATACAAAGTTGAACCTCATTTGGAGTAATTTTTAGGTTGGTTTGCAAAACTCGTATGACAATAAATATAATGAATATACTCTGGATATTCACCATTTTCTGGAATTTCAAAAAAAAAAAAAAACTATCACCGAACTTTGATCTTAGTTAATAAAAACTATTGGCATTCATCCACCTGGCCTGGAGAGCTCTAAAATAAACCTTTATTACAAGAAGGTAACACTGAAAAGATATTTATTCCATTTGGGTCCTAGATGAAAATTGCATTTGAAGACTTTGAAATATTTTTTTGGGCTTCTGATCCCATGGAAATGATTCTGTAATTAGTATTTGGCCAAGATATGGGGTCATTCCATTTATTGATATTTATGAACTAGAGAAATCCACGGAGGAGACTAAATCGATGTTTCAAATGAAAGAAGACAATGATGTTATAAATATAATGGGTACACAATACGTCCACGTCTTTCTAATTCAATCATTCAATGACGGTTATGTTAATGTGACCAGATCAGGTTTTATAGGGCAAGCTCCTCTCTCGGTACGGCTGCACAATATGCATTTTTCATAAAAATAATGGTATTTTGATCCTGTTACCCTCTGAATGTTCTGTCTGCGTTTCTCTTAAAGGAGAATCACATTCCGAGTCTTGATAGGATACACTTGATAAAGAATCCTGTTAACTTCATCGAGGGAGAAGCTTATGCCTATTATTAAGCTGTCCCCATCGTCTCTCATTGTATTTGCCATTATTTCTGGGGTAAGTGAGCAGAAACACAGACTGCTCCATCTTCAAAACCCACGAGGCAGTACTTAGCCGGGAGATAGAGGAGATCATTTGGATAGATGATGAATTCTCTTAATAAATTTGCCACCCAGCCCTAACCATTAGTCGCTGTGTGATGAGAAGTAATAATGTAAAATAAGGCGATCAGTCGATGATACAAAGTTATTATTCCCATCTATATCTACCCATATTCACCTCGTTAGCCAGGGAAATCAAAAAGACTTTGGCTCAAAGCCTCTTATTGCTCCAGTCCGCTCCAGAACCCAACACAATTTTACATCCAAGATCACAGGGATCCTACAGATTAGTAATAAAGTAAGAGAAAAAAGTGTGCTGGAAAATTTCAAAACTGTGTCATTTGACATACCAAATGCGAGTTAGAAGTAACGAGGAAAGAGAAATGATTTTTCCATGGATATATTTTCCTGGGTGCGCCTATGATCTTCTGGGATAGCTTATCAGGAAAGGTTCATCTCTCCTGATTTTGAAGTAGTTGCCATCAGCAGCAGCTAGTGTGAGAATATGTTTGTAGAGTGAAATATGTATATATATATATGCCTCATTTTTATTGATTAGATATACCCGCCAATCAGGGCTGTATTTACCACAAGGCATTTGCCTAGGGCGGCACTTTCGGGGGCGGGGAGGACGGCAAAAAACGCCAACCCAAGCACCCAGCCAAATGCCTTGTTTGCCTTGTGTCCTGGTGGACCCAAGAGGTGGCTAGTTGGCTACCCTAGAGCCCCCCGTGGTGGTAAACTACTAATATTTTATCCGTGAAGGTGTGTGTTGGTTAAATAGTGTCTGTGAAAATGACTGGATACGTGTGCCAATGACTGTATCGGTCAGTGAGTGTATGTCAGTGCATGTATCAATGAGGGCGTGTGTCTGTCAGTCATAAAAGTGCCCCTGAGATAAATTGGTGAGTTAAATCTAGTTTAGGGGGGTGCCCGAATTTAGTTGTGCCTAGGGCAGCACAATTCCAAAATACACCACTGCCGCCAATATCACTGATCAAAAACCGGCTTAATTCTAGGATACGGCACATGCTCGTTAGAAAAAGATAAACTGCATTCTTTCTAATGTTACATGTTACATGTTTTAGTTTAAAAATCAGAAACCAGCAAACGTTCACGTCAAAGTGATACTACATATTTTATAAATAGATCGATATCTAGAACAGGCTTCAATTTAATTTGATAAAACGTTTTTTGGATGTTTTCTAAATTATGTAAATCTGTTAGAAAGAATTTGCAAATGATTTATATACATAGGTCACCTTGAAAGTCTATGGAAATATTTGTAGATAAATCATTTAAAAAGTGTATTGGTTTTTTGTTTTTTTTTGCTTTCCAACAAATTTGAATCATTTGAAAAACGTATCTACAAATATTAAATCGAGGCCATAATTTGGGTTTTCTGTATTATTGATAACTCTCACCCCCTCTGTCATTTTATGGGTTGCTGCAAGGGTGGGTTTTTAGGGATTTGATCTGTTTATAAACAAGTCTTACTTTATTCCAACCGTAAAAAGACAAAAACATTTTTTTTACTGTAAATCTCCCAAATACACTTCTCACAAGGTGTGGTGGTGATAAATAAGGTTTTTGTAAGATTTTTTTTTTAAGGATTGGGAAAGGAATTAGTGCGGGATCTGATTTCACAATTTCTAGGTTAAAAATACATTTTTCTTTGTGGATCACACGTTGATCTTTTCCCTGCTAAGGTATTGAGGGACAGGACAATGCGGCCAAGCCATTTATACCCTGTGGAGTTTGTCGTACACCGGAGACTTATCTGATAAAGAACAACAGAAAGGATTTGAAGAAGATCAGGGGCTGTATGAACTCCTGCTGCGAGACAGTTTCTTTGCTGATCACCATCTTCACATCCGTAGAGGAGTCTTTGAAGGCGTAGTAGATACTGTGTCATATCGAAGCCCCTCTCTCTGTCAGCGCAGTCCTTTTAGAGGAAGTTGTTTGTTGGCGAGGGAGATAGCACCCTACTGCCTGCTGTGAGTTGGGGGTTCAGGAATGTGTGTTTGGAATGAACGCTCAGATCTCGGGAATGACAGGTCTAAGGACACCAAGACAAAGCAAGAAATCGTTTAGGGCCCACTCTGGCTCTTAAGGAGTTGATA